AAGGATAAGCTGGAGCTCCCACCCTAAGCACAAACTCTGAGGGGCTCAGACCACAGAGGGAGCAGCTGGAAACGGACCAGGTGGAAGCTCAACAGTATATGTAACGTCATAAGTCAAAGGTGGATTGTCCTTTATAGCAGGTAGACTTGATGCTGGTATAATATTGTTTTTACAGCTAAGGATGGAAATTTTATCCCATGTCATTCTGTTATTTAGCAAACAATACATGCCATCTGGTCCTCGGCTGGTTTTGTCTGAGTTCATTCATTTTGTTCATTGGGTGAACAATAGAGTCTGTTTGCAAGGTGAAGTGTTCCCAAACGTCAGTCTGCTGTTTTGTTTGCTCTGAGTCACAAAATGTAGGAATGAGGAACAAATTAAACACAGAATCAAGATCAAATATTTAGTTTTTCTCAGGATTTTTTTTTCAATAATTCAATAATCAGACCTAAGGAGACACTGGAGCATCATGAAAAGAGAGGCAATAAGAAACCATCACACCATCATACCAGACAGTCAGCATGACTGATGAGTGTCACATCATCATCTAAATAAATGCTGCAGTCATAATGCATCTTACAGCAGATCTTGATAATACACTGATATCTTTGAAACAGTGAGCAGTTTGTTAAACTCACAAGGCAACTTAGTTAAACAACTTTGTCAAAGTGGAGGGTGTAGTTTGGTAACACAATCTGTCCTCAGGTTGGGTGTTGTTATAGTAGAGATTATCTTTTGCTCACCATCTCCTCAACTTTTAAACAGCAAGGATTAAAGTGCTTCAAAAACTGAAGAGAAAACTGCTGTATATGAATAAAGTTGAATAGAAAACAAGTGTTTATTCAGCTTTTGCCGTTAAAGGAACTTAAGTCAAATAAACATTATGACTACAACTAGTCAGGGACTCAAAATGGAGAGCAGAGGAGAGTCAGGTCATGATAAGTTAGGCAAATCAGTCCCACATATCTTAGTAAAATACAAATGATTTGAATTTCAAATTTGACGCAAACTTTGTGCTCATGTAAAATTTGCAGTCCAACACTCATGTTGGAAGAAAAAACATCAAAATTTTAGGATATTTCTTTTCCAGATTTGATGAATCCCCGAATTGACTCACTGGGTAGATTGTAAAACCTATATACAGGAACTATATACCGATAAAAATATAGAAAATTATACATTTTAAAAGATTTTAAATAAGCAAAGTATTTGGACTGGTACAGGTTAGCATTTTTATGAAGAAAAGAAAGGAAGAAATCAGAATTCCAGGTGCGTCAAGATTAGATTGAATCATACAGTTTAAGTTTATTTATATAATTTGGGGATGTCCGTGTCTACTTTACATGGCTGTAAGAATGATCTGTACATTTTTCAGTGGTAATAAAACAAAAATACATAGCCACTGCACACAGGTTCTCATTAGATCTCATAAGAAAAAGTTTTCACTACTTGTGTTAATTTATTCTACTTAAGGACATTGATCAGCATTGAATCCCCCCCGTTTTTTTTTAACAACAATGCATTTATTTGTTTGTCTATAATGTTTCATGAATTCACTTCTGCCACACGTTGTTTCTGATTGATCTCATTGATTTACCCATGAAGTCGAGCTCAGTTTTAACGGTTGAACCTGAATCTACGTCTACGGCTGTGACCGTCATTTCTGTGGCACCAAACTTGATTTGTAGTTTGATTTCACGATCCATGCCGCGTGCTGTGTCAGGTGACTCAAGAATAATAGAACCAATGTTCTCTACTCCCCACTCATCCACATACATTAGACCTTGGATATTTCTCTCTGTGCGATAAAATGCAAAGATAACTGCTGTCTGATCTCTTTCTACTGGAGTGAAGCTGTGCTCACAGGTTTTATCCCAGCCCACTTCCTCATTTTCCTTCACCAGTACACAGAAAATACCATCACACCACTCGCCTTCTTTGTTTGTGTATCTCTTGTCTGGCCTATGCTTGGATGCATCAAACCTATGAGACAAAGAAACCCCGTAAGTAAAGGCACTTATTCGAGATGCCACCAATGCTGGGTTTCTTCCAAACATCACAGCTCCCTTCATGATTGCTTCTTGAGGATGAGAAGGACACAGAACTTTACACTGATCACCAAACTGATTGGTAATATGCTGACGCAGAATCAGGCTTTGAGCGTAGCCCCCCAATAACAGAATGTACTTAATGGTGAAACCTTTCTTCAGGATTTCTCTGAGACTCTTTGTGATGCCATTCAGACTCTCAGCAAAGAAAGATCGTACTTTCTCTTTTGAGATTTTGATGGCTCCTTGATTCCAGGAAACACCTCTCAGCGATTCAAAAAACTTTTCCATTTTCTGCTTTTCTTTTGCCATTTCACCCAGGTTATATGGGCAGCTGATGTCCACATCATCATCATACTCTTTTAAAACTGAGATATCATACATCATCTTCTGCAGCTCTCCTGGATGCTCTTTTTCATATTCATCCCACAAACTATCACTGAAGATTTCTCTGAGAAACTCTTTGAATTTGTTATCCACAGTTTGTCCCCCAAAATCATTTCCTGAGGCCTTGTGCAGCTCTTTCAGGGCTCCTCCCTCCAGGACTTCATGAACAGTGATGTCAATGGTTCCACCTGCAAAACACAGGAATTCATTAAAAGTGACAAGTGATAGCATCTATACCAGGGGTTGGAAACCTTTCTGAATATGTGGCAAGATCTGAGAACTGCTGTTCACAAATGCTGTCCATCTAATCTGACTGAGCTGGAGTTGTTTTGCAAAGAAGAATGGGCAAGAATTTCAGTCTCTAGATGTGCAAAGCTGGTAGAGACATACCCTAAAAGACTGGCAGCTGTAATTGCAACAGAGAGAGAGAGAGAAAGAGAGAAAGACCAGAAAAAGAGAGAGAGTGTTTTGAGATGTGAGAGATTTGTGATGTTTAGCGTTTGTAGTGTGTAGTTAAATTTGTTGACTTTTGTAGTTAGTGTGTAGCGTGGATAGCTTTGTGTTATGTGTCAGAACAATGAGGCGACTGCTGATTACACCTGCTACTGTCAGTCCTGCAGGTATCAGGCTGTGATGTTCTCCTTTATAGTGGACAGAAATTATTTTTTTTGGAGTGGCACAAATAATTTGTGTGGCATCTTATTGAATCCAGAGCTGATTGTTCTGCAAATAGTTTGAAATGGTTATTTAAAAAGGGGGTAAATGTAAACGGCCGCAAATAACTTTGTTGTTTGCAAAACTGATGCATATGATTTCGAAATTGACAATTTATATTTGCATTAAAAGTTGTGAAATATGATTCAATAAAAATGTTTGTGGTTATAAACAGTACTTTTTCTACTCCGATTTTCTGTTTTTTGTCTGATTTTAGATCAACTGTGTTAATACAGTATGTCAAAATGAAACTGTAAAACCAAACACTAACAAACACAAAACTCAAACGCGTGAGGTTTTGCTGAAAAGAATGATTCCTTAGTTTGACTTCCCTGTAATTGATTCCATAAGTTTTGGAGCAATATAAATTTAGTTATCTGGTATCAATTCTGACTAACACCGCTCGATTCAATGTTTTAAATGGGAGTCCTGAATGGTTTTAGTTTCATCCTCCCAGGCTAACATAAATAAATATCCAAAAAACTACATTATGTGGGAGAGGTGTTCTGTCTAAATAATCTTCATCTTATTAATGATACATTGATAAACTTAAATTTTCTGAATTCCTGTAAACTTTGACAAAAACAACATTGTGTGAGTAAAATGTAAAAGTAAAAAAAATTGCACTTTGAAATGAAAACATAGAGTACCTCCACAGTCCACCACAATGTATTGTGTTCCTGAAGCCTGTTCGAATGTGACTCTGCTGTTATTTTCTGTTTTATAACCATCAGCTGGCAGCTTCTTACACCAGACTGAGGCTGCTTCTGGTTCCAGTGCAATAACCAGTCTGTCTTCCTTGCCTGTGGTAACAATCCCTGCCTATAAATCAAAGGTAAATAAATTTTTCACTTTAAGCAGTACAGTTGATCTGTTTATTGTCTTTATTACCTGTGTCGCAGCTTCTCTCATGAACTGTTTTGCTGAAGGATCCCAGATGGCAGGTACAGTCACCACCCAGGTGAAGTCAGAGGCTACGAACTGCTTCCCACCAGCATTTTCTGAGATGAACTTCAGAGCATCCTCCTTCAGGTATCTCAGAGCTTCTGTGAACACCTTCAGTGCCTTCATTGACCGTCCATTTGCAGCTTCAATTGCCACATCACTATTAACTTTCTATGATGGCAGACTGGATATTAGTTAATAGGTTTGTAACTTCCTACGTGAGAGTCTAAATCAAACAGCAATTTACAGAGATTTAAAATCTTTTTCAAAAATGACAAAAGATGATATTTATGTTTAAAATTGATGTATTTATGTTTATGTTCTTGTGGCTATCATCTTACATTATATCACAATTAATAAGGTTGATCAGGAAAATGCAAGAGCTAAAAGTCTTTAACTATACTGTAATCATCTATAACACACTCAGCACAACGCAGAAAGTGTTAAACCATAATATAAGATTATTGATATATTTAGATTTTTACACTTACTTTGCCATAGAGGGACATCTTGAAGCATTCAAAGAAGAATTTCTTTCTGGCTTCATCACCTCGTGTTCTAAAATAAGCTGACTGGGCTTCATAACCAAAGCTGAGAAATTTTTCATGTTCATCAAAAAGGATGCAGGTCGGAGTCTTTGGGGTCCTCAGTGAAACCTGTTTACCCCAGTACTTTAAACGAGGTTCAATTTCTGCGTCTCTTTTTGTCAGACTGAAAGCATATCCACTGTACGCAGTGCCAAAGTCTATCGCTATGATGTATGAGTTATCCATTGTGGAAACTGTGCTGAACAGCAACAGTTACAGAGTATTTATGAACATACCAGGGGGCAGACCTCACTGAACTCCACCCCCTGGTCTGTGGAGTTCAGTGTAACAGTCGTACTTGTGTCAGACTGGAAAAAGATTTTCATTAAACAAGACAAGACACCACGATGAGTATTCAAAAGTTCCGCAGGTAAATACATTATATCAACCTGTGTCACTGCATAAACTGTCAGATTTAAATGTTTATACAAGTTAAAAGTATATAAACATGAAAATGACTGAATGTAATTTAAAGTTTTGTTCATCAGTTTTCCTTAGTTTGAAATGATATGATGAGTATGTAGTCCATAGCTTAGGTTTAGTATTTTTCCTCTCTGGACATCTGCCTAGATATCTGTGATATCCCTGTTTCTTTACCTTCAAATTAGAGATCGGAATCAATCAGCAGCTCCACAGGAGCTGAGGTAAGGATTCGCTCTTTTTAATATTATTTGATGTTTCTGATCAGGAATTTTTAAAATTGCTTCATTTACCTGGTTTCCACAGCTGAACATAGGATAGACTGTATGAATTATACTATATTTTGCTATGTGATCATCTCAGCATAAGATTTTATTTAAAAAAAAAAAAAAAAAAAAAAAAGCTCAATAAACCTTACTCTGAAATTAATGCTTATAATTTTTTTATGTAAATTAATATTTTTGGGCATGAATATTTCTTCATAATTCTGGAATACAATTTCCTAATACACCAGATAGTAACACAAACAGCAGAAGTGGCCATTTAGCATACAGGCCAACACAGACATGTAATCACATACTTAATATATTTTGGTAGTTTATTGTCATTGAAGAGTTTTGTAGAACATCACTCATTATTTCTGGTGAGTTCAGGTTTATGTTTACTGAATTTTGTACATGTTTTTTTGTACATATTTTCTATGCTGCAGATTTCAAATGGGGTGGCAAAATCAAAACCTTTTTTTTTTAAACTCACGTGTCAGGTTAAATCAGTCGTGTGATTTGGAGGTGCAGCGTTTCTGTGGACCCCAGAGGGTTAATAACACTCACATTCATTCCATTTCCAGAGTGTAACAACCAACCACATGTGAAATCTGAAATTCCCACGATGTTGTTCAAAATGTGCTCTGGCACAATCATAAGCATCGCTTGCTACTGAAAGGCTGAACCATTTGTTAATGGTGTGTGTGGGAGGGGGGGAACACTGTGCAATATATATTTAGTTTTAACATTTATATTCACTGCTAACTGTGAATCCTCTCAAAGTGTTAATGCTATCTTATTTTAATAAACAACACTGTACCTGCCTTCACGACACATCACAATAGATGAGATCTCTACACAAGGCTTGCTTTTCGTGATTTAATGAAGATCTTTTTAAGCCTTTTCCTCTCTCGAGGCTTCTCCTTGCCATCTCTTTTTGGTAACTGAAATATACAGAAAGTAAAAATAAATTGCTAGCTAATACACATCTTAATTTACAAACTTAATGATTAGCCTAGCTTAACACATGCGTTGCATTAGCATCACAGTTCACTTCATGTAAACACTTGGAAAATGTTTGTCTTTGTGAATATTAATGTGTTCAGAAACAACTTTTATAAGGTACAAGCATGTAGGGCAGCAGTCCCCAACCTTTTTTGCGCCACGGACCGGTTTATGCCCGACAATATTTTCACGGACCGGCCTTTAAGGCGTTGCGGATTAATACAACAAAATAAAACTAGTACTGGTAACAAAAAAAAGAAGATTTATTCATAAGACACATGAAAAGACCCAGGAAAACCGAGTTAACGATAAAAACCCTCCCTTCTTTTCCTCCCCATCCCCGGCTACCTCCCTCTTCCCGCTCCACCACACCCACCCACACGGGTAGGTCCTTGGGGTGCGGGTGTGTCACCAGGGTGCAAGGGAGACATCCCCCCCCTGCCCCCTTCTGGCCACCTGTGCCTCAATTTTATCTCACAACTTAGACATCCACATTACTTACACTCTCATAACACATACATATAGGGCCTTGAGGGTGGGCATGTTAACGGCGTCCAGTGGACGGACTATGTATTCAAACCTACCTCTGGCGCCGGTGCCCACCTCTCCATTTTAAATCCATGTAGACATTGAGGGTTCTTGGGAGGGGCCGTGCTAACACCGGCTGCTCTCTGGCAGCAGCACCATGCTCTCCCTTGTTTTAAATGCACTTTAGAACAACACGCAGCAACACTACACATGAGCGGGAGGAGGGAGGTATGGGGTCTTCACACACCCCCATTCTCTACTAACCATCGGGGCGGGGGGGCTGGGAGGAGATGTTGGCTGTCCGATTGGGCTCCCTGCTGCTGCAGAGCCTGGGACGGTCTGCTTGCCTCCACCCCGGGGGGAAGGGTAACATCTCTTGGGTCTGGATGCTGTTTCCCCCTCTGGGGGCAAGGGTACCTGGACCCGGGGTATAGAGTATGTTTGGGGAGTGTGATTGTGTGTACATGTCCATTTATGTCAATCCTTACATTGGGTGAGTGCTGAGTGTTTGTATATGTGTGCATGAGGGTGGGAATGCATGTTTGTGTCTGTGTGTGCCTGTTTGTCTGTGTCTATATGTCAGGCCTCAGTGAGCAGGTTAAAGGTTAACATTAATGACATCACAATTAGAAAAAGACTGAACAAGCACGGCTGCTTGTAAGGATTGCAAGAGAAATCCTCTTCTATATAAAATAACATAACTAAATGGCTTAGGTTTGCAAATCTAGGGGTGAACAAAGCACAAGACTTGATAAAGTGACACATCACTGCAGGTTACTGCTGCTAAAGTTTGTTCTACAAGCTGCTGAAGCCGGTGGTGGACTTGTACACAAAACTGTAGATACAGATGTATTTCTAACCAAGGGGCTGAGTGAATATATTGTATATTGTGAATAACCTCTCTATGATGTTTTCAAACAGTTTGGCTGAGATGGGAAAAAAACTTTGTGAGGCAAAGTAAACATTCTTTTTTTCCTCATATTTCACAAGTGCCTGAAGTTTCTCATTTCCTCTTTTTATTTCATCCTGTTTTATCTGTTCATGCTGTATATTTGTTTCACAGTATGGTGGTGAAACGTCATGAGGAGGAACTGAATTCAGTCAAACAGAGGTACTGTTGGTATAATCTGGTGAAATATCACATAACATATTTGCACTTACATTGTTAAAGTATTAAACTGTGAAATTTTGCAGTCTTTTGCAGAGTGGTGTGACTGATCAATAACTTTGCAATATTGCTTATTAACAGTGGCCTACAAAAATAACAAAATTGATTTGAAAGACAAATGTAGAATTTAAACAGTTAGTGTTGGTTTCTATATGTTTGACATTATGTTTAAAATTGTTGATCTGTTATTGTTTAATGATGAATTTGTGATCTGATGTGTTTTAACAGATTAATCTGTTTACTTTTTTATTTAGTTTGACGGAGGTGAACACATTTTACAAATTGAGCCTCAGAAAAGCAGGGTAATTATATTTCTGCAATATTTATAGACACCCATGAAACAGTATTTGTATCCACTGTCAATCAACACACACACACACACACACACACACACACACACACACACACACACACACACACACACACACACACACACACATATATATATATATATATATATATATATATATATTTGATTTGTTTTAACAGTTTGGCTGCAATGGAACAGTTTTATAAAGAGAAACTCCAAGAAGAAAGGTAAACACATTTCAATGCATAAAAGACTTAAAAATGTTTCAAATCCACATCCAGGCTGTGGTGACAGTCAACTTTTATTATTTTATTTATGATTTTATTAACAGAAAACAATCTTGGCACAGAGATACATTAATGTAATACCTTAATGTTAGAGCACGACAATGTGTCGTATCTAGGTATTCATGTTCATAACTTATTATTAAATGTGTTACCTGTATGACTACTTGCTGCCTTTAAATTTGATTTTCCCCAGTTTTCATCTTTAAGGAACTCCTCTGTTGGTGTGGCTGTATGCTTGTGAACAAAGAATTAGTTTGGTGGATGTATTCTTATTTTTAAATTCAAAATAGCTTCTTTGGCAACTAAGGAATTCAAAAGTCATGACAAATTATTAATTCATCATTTTCAGATGATACAGGAAATTTGAACCACCTGGGGAACCAAAAATACCCAATACAGCAATCGTGGCTCAAGAGTTGGGTGTTTGTCTTGTAATCGGAAGATTGCCGGTTCGAGTCCCGGCTCGGACAGTCTCGGTTGTTGTGTCCTTGGGCAAGACACTTCACCTACTGCCTACTGGTGATGGCCAAAGGGGCCGATGGTGTGATATGGCAGTCTCGCTTCTGTCAGTCTGCCCCAGGGCAGCTGTGGCTACAATTGTAGCTTGCCTTCACCAGTGTGTGAATGTGAGAGCGAATGAATAGTGGCATTGTAAAGTGCTTTGAGGGGTCCCGAAAAGCGCTATATAAATGCAATCCATTATTATTTATATATATCCAATCCTAATCCTAATGTAAACAGAAACAAATCACTTATTTGTACCAAACACTATTCCACAGATCTGCACATAAAGAAACTGAAGAAGAATTGAAATCATTCAAAGACAGGTACTGTACTGAAACGTGGATTTAACACCATCTGTTTTTTTTACAATTTCAACATTGTCTATTACCATTACCAGAGTGGCAGGAGAGGTTGACATTGCACTACAGGCCGGGAACTCTGAAAACATGAACAACCCAGTGAATGAAACCAGACTGAAAGAGATGTATAAAGAGCTGAGGAAGGACTGGGCTAGAATCAAGCCTTATCTGCAGAAAGTTCACAGCACCCCAGAGAGAATCAAAGCCTGGATTCAGGTGGGGCATTAGAGTGAGATTATAGTGTAGTATGAACTTTATTCTTATAAAAAATGTTTTTATTCCCTCTGCGAATTATAGCGCAGCTTTCTGTGTGGGACAGGGGATATGGAACAGAAGAAGAAACTGATAGAGTTAGCATTTAACCTAAATGCAGACCACGCTCAAGCATCTCAGAAGGTACTGATGTGTTTGGGATGTGTTAAACATGATCACTGAAGCTTTTGTGATAAAGATCAATGAAAGGTTTCATTATTTGTTTCAGGTTCATGAATACACGAACCTAACCCTTCACAACCTTCAGCTTGCTTTTTACTACAGTTTCATAGACACTGCTGCTCAGGTTTGTTGGACATTGCACACATTGTAAATACACTACACTGTGCATTTGTGGGACATGAAACCAAACCCAGGTTATTAAATTGTTTGTTCAATAAGAAACTGTAACTTAAACACAACAGCTCTTTTTTGAATTAAATGTTTGTCATTTAAACTTGAATAATTTCTCAATGGCAGGGGTTCCATGGACAGGAAGGTGAAATTTGTGATGCTAGCTTGAATAACCTCCTCTCGAAGTGCCGCTGGCTGAGCGGTTTATTTGCTTTGAACAACCCTCCTCTTCAGCCTGACTGGATAAATCATCATCCCGGGCAAGATGCTTGGAACATTTTCCCACAAGAGATCACAACTGATTTTGCCATGTCACCCTGCCAGGGCCACTCTGCAAAGGTCCTTAAATGTCTTAGCCCATTACAGGGCCCAGACATGAGCGATAGTGATGACCTCTAGAACAATCTTTGTAGAAGTAAGCGAACTCTAACTTAGTTTGTGAAATAAAATGAGCCACTTGTTTTTAATATATCCTTGAGAGATCAAAATGACGAACGCTGCACTACTTTTGCGTTTTTAATGAAAACATAGACTGTTATCCAAAAGGCATCTTCAGTTTTAGAATAACTGGTAGAAAAATACAGATGATTTACAAAAAAAAAGAAAAAAACATTGGAGACATTTCTCTTGGAGGTGGTCCTGAGGGTCGCTGGCCCACTTTTGATAATGAGAGTCATCACATGAACCAAGGAGTGCAAAAAGTCACTGGGACCAAGATGTAAAATGTTAGTAAGACATTGCCCCACCCTACTGAGTTGTTGAAGTGACATGAGGCAAGGGGTGAGTGGAGGTTGAAACACCCGGGTAGGGATGTCAAGACTGCACTGTCGGTGAATGATAGGTGGTGTTAAAGGTCACCACCTGAGTTCATTCCCAAACAGAGTAAATGTCTATAGAATATCACCACTTTACACTTTAAAATCAGTTTGGCATATTACATTCTGCAGCATCCATTTTCTCTTGATGCTGTAGCATTTTTATGTTACAGTATGAAGTACTTTTACAGTATTATTATGTCTCCAGTAACACAGTAATAATTTTTGACCAGGATATGTCTTTTAATACATATATTAAACAAATATGTAGATCTGCTTTCTTCCATTTGCACAATATCTCTAAAATGAGAAATGTCCTGTCTCAGAGTGACTCTTAGTTAGTTAGTTATGCTGGAATAGTTGTAGGCTGCTGGGGGATTCCCATGATGCATTGAGTTTTTCCTTTCCTTTTCAGTCACCTTTCTCACTCATTATGTGTTAATAGACCTCTCTGCATTGAATCATATCTGTTATTAATCTCTGTCTCTCTTCCTCAGCATGTCTTCTATCCTGTCGTCCTTCTCTCACCCCGACTGGTTGCGGCAGATGGCCGCCCCTCCCTGAGCCTGGTTCTGCCGGAGGTTTCTTCCTTCCCACTGTCACCGAAGTACTTGCTCATAGTGGGCCATATGATTGTTGGATTTTTGTCTGTATGCATTATTGTAAGGTCTACCTTACAATATAAAGTGCCATGAGGTGACTGTTGTGATTTGGTGCTGTATAAATAAAATTGAATTGAACATAAACACCTGTCTCCTCTGCCATCCCATCACCACCCCATGAGCTCCCTGCACCACCTCTCCACTACAGCAGGCCAGAGACCACACCCCTGCCACAATTTCAAGAAAAAAGTTTTACCTTAACTGACAGTAATGTGTTTGAAAGTACTGCTCTGTCAGGGAAAAAAGAGAACTTGATCTGTTTATTATTTCTGTTAATTTCTGTTAATACTTTTAACTTTTTTTAATTTAGTCTGATAATTTAATTATCAAAAACAATCCGAAGTACAACAGAGGTTTACAGCTGACAGTCCATGCTCCATGTTGCATTGCCTTGGTTTATTTAGAAGTAACATGCTTGACTTTGACTTGTAGTAAAAAGACCGTTCTTAGTGTCCTGTGTGTTTTAAAACTTGGGATATCCTTTAAGGAAAAGATAGGAAAATGAAGAAATATACACTTTGTTAGTTGTGGTAACGTCAGTAGGCCACTGTTGTGTTTGTAATTTGACTTTAGAACAAACTGAGTAGAAGATGCGACTTAGTGGGATGTGAGGGTGTGCTAATCTGTCAGAAGGATAAACTGCAGAGGGGCTCCAGCTGCAAAGGTGGAAGCTCAACAGCATGTGTAATGTCATATGTCAAAGGTGGGTTGTCCTTCATAGCATAGGTATTGACACTGGTATAATATTGTTTTTACAGCTTAGGGTGGAAATTTATTTAGCAAACAAAACATGTCATGTGGTCCTTGCCTGCTTTTATTTGAGTTCTTTCATTCAGTTCTTTGGGCAAACAATAGTCTGTTAGCAAGGTGAAGTGTTCCCAGATGCTCTCCCATGTCAGTCTGTGGTTTTCCCATAATTCAGTCACAAAATGCAGCCACATGAGGGTGGCTGCATTTTGTCAGAATCAAGGGTCAGAATCAAGATCAAATATTTAGTTTTTTCTACAAAAAGTTCAATAATCGGAGCTGAGGAGACACTGGAGCATCATGAAAGGTCATGAGTGTCACATAGTCATCTAAATAAATGCTGCAGTCATGATGTCAGAATCTTACAGCAGATCTTGATAATATGGGGCAACTCAGTTAAAGGGTCAAAGTGGAGGGTGTAGTTTGGGAACGCAGTCTGTCCTCAAGTTGGGTGTTGTTATATTTAAGATTTTCTTTTGCTCATCATTTCCTCAACATTTAAACAGGAAGGATTAAAGTGCATCAAAAACTAAAGAGAACACTATTGTGTAGAAATAAAGTTGAATATAAAACACAAGTGTTTATTCTGCTTTTGCCATTAAATGAACTTAAGTCAAATAAACATTATGACTACAACTAGTCAGGGACTCAAAATGGAGAACAGAGGAGAGTCAGGTCACGATAAGTTAGGCAAATCAGTCCCACATGTCTTAGTAAAATACAAATGATTTGAATTTCAAATTTGATGCAAACTTGTGCTCATGTAAAATTTGCAGGCTCTTCTTTGTGTTGTGTGCTTTTGGAGTGTCAAGGAAACCTCAGAGTAAAAAAAACTTAAAAAAGCAAATTCTAATGAAGTTTTCTGCACTTCATGGGATTTCATAGTTTATTTATAAGTCACAATGAATCTGAAAATAAAAAAAAAATCTCACAAAGAAAATCAAAATGCAGTAAGTTTTGTTTTACAAGAAATGAGGTGGAGGGTTGGGCTCCACCTGAAGTCTGCAGGTATTTGATATTTAAATATTTAGTATTACAAGTGAAAGCTAAACTTTCTCACTGTGACATTCATCATGACATTCAAGATGTCTGTCACGGTCTGGGGGGCAGACCGTGGGGATGTGGGGAAAGGAGGACCCAAAACGCAGACTCTGCGATGCAAACAGTGCTCTTTATTTACAGTGGAAAACTGTAAACACAATAACTCCCCGTTGCTCCCTCGAACCCCGTGTGCGTGCTTCCCTCCGACGTCTGTGCTCGTGCTCGTGCTCCCCGCTGTTGTGTTTCCGCACACCCCGTGCATGCTGCCTTTCTGGACCACTCTTCCTCCTGCAGGGAAACCATAGAGGCAGCCGTCAACACTAACCCTCGGCGGGCATATACGAACAACACAGACATATGCTGACACACTAACTTGGTACGATAACTCAATGATCCCGCGTCGGTGGGAGCTCCAAGACTCTCCTAAGTAGCTCCCCCGACGAGCCCTGATCAGCGGCAGGTGTGTGGCTTCGGGTGTGGCCAGTCCCTCCGCAGGGCCACACCCCTCAGGCCTGCAGGTGGCCGAGCTCCATCCTCCAGGCACACCCGCAGACATACACACCCATACCTCGCCTAAACATATGAGTGGGACACAGACTAACACAGCACAGAGAAACACACATATGTACACGCACAGAGAAGGAGAAACGACACCAAAAATACATAATAATAATACACAGGTCCATGACTGCCCAGGGATCCTGGGTCGCCCAGTCCCAGGACCCTGACAATGTCATGATGAATGTCACAGCCGAAATCATCATCAGAGACTAATCAGACCGGGACATGTGTTTGTAGTTTTCTGTTCTCAGCTGACAGGAGTGAAACCTGGTGTGCTAACTGGATATTTTCTCCTTTCAAGACCATTCGCTGTAAACTCTAGGGGATCATGGGTGGGAAAATTCCAGTAGATCAGCAGCAAGCTTCAGATCAGCCCGTCTGACATCAACATTTAAAGTCAATTACATAACTTTTCTTCTCCATTCTGGTACTTTGAAGTTCAATGGTTCATCTTTAGCATGTCTGCATGCTTAAATGTACTGAGTACTCATTGGTTGATTAGGTATTTGCATGAACAAGTGGTAGAAACAGAGTGTGTAACTAATAAAGTGGTCAGGATTTTCACATGACAAGCTGCTGATTAGAGCACATAAAGGAGTTTTTGACTACTTATTTAGGTCTCAGTGTAGCATCCCCGGTTGAAAAGATGGTCTCTCAAACTGATGGTTCACAATCATTTTATTAAACAGCCGTGTATGTGAACACACCGTAAGAGCTACAACATACAGAATAAAAGACTATTAGTAAATCAAACAGTGTGTTACCTTTAACCTTTTGACTTATTCATTAATCACAAATTCTCCTTACCTTACATAACAAATAACACTAAAACTTGTAAATTATTGCATATAACAGGGAAATCGTTGCATCGCTGCCTAAACATGACGAGGTACTTTAGCGCCCTCTAGTGGGTGAAAACTTAGCCGTTATGCTTAGTAGCGGTCAGCAGCTATATGCTCCGTAAAACAACAAAATACATATCTACAGGACAAACTTTGTTACAAACCTTGTTCCCTCATCAACCAGGTGCTAAGAAACTGCTTTCGACTCAGTGTTGCACCTTAATAGCCGTTCTTTTTCCCATTCCCGTCCATTAACCATAGAGCACAACTTCTCTCTGTGCATTAAAACTCGCGCTTCGGCCATATGGTTTACGCCACTTGATTTACGGCACCTTGTCACTCGGTGACTTTCAAAATAAAAGCATTCACTCCAACAATATAATAGCCACTCATAAGTTTACAAAACACTTTACCAAATATTAATGAGGTCATTTACACTCAGCTCTTGGTGACCAATAAAACTAAAGTACTGGCTCTCTCCACATTTATATAGTCGCAACCAATAACTAGAATAATAAAACAATAACTGCCCACAGGCACTACCAAAATATCTGGGGAGTGGTTAGACTGATAAAGTAGATAAACCTGAGATGAAAGCGAGGCATGTTTGTGTCCACTGGTATTGCCTTTTAGAAAACAGAGCCAGTTTATTAACCAACCGACACAATGCAGTCTATCAGTTTATATCTGCTTCATCAGTTTTCTTTTAAGCAGACAACATTAAAAGCTTCAAAACAAAATCTACAGGTCAGAATCCAGTGAGGTCAGTATCACTGGATTATTGAGAAAATCAAAACGAAACATGCAGTTAGTTTATTGCCTAGACAGGATTTTACAAACCTACAGAAGTAGTGAATGTGAGACGGTTGTAAACATCGAAGTCTGGCAATAGCTTACTGCTTTTACACTGTGACTGTCACTACTGATTTCATGGTGCAGACAAGATAAAAGAGGGTTGTAGCTTCAAGCTTTTGGTAAGTGAAGCCTCACACCTGCTTTATTTTAAATGACCAGCAGTAGGCGATTTGCAGTTTCATATAAGTCTTTGTTTGTGTTTTGTGACAATGTGAAGGAAAACATTAAGAGGCATTAAGGCGCATATATATATATATATATATATATATATATATATATATATATATATATATATTCAGTGTTGGGGAGTAAGGGAATACATGTACCAGTGTTACGTATTTAAAATACAAAATATGAGTAACTGTATTCTGTTACAGTTACCGTTTAAAAAGGTGGTATTCAGAATACAGTTACTTTGTTGAAATAAATGGATTACACTGCGGTACTTTCCTGTTTCATTTTGTCGCGGGTCAGGACTGTTTGGGTTTTGTTGCTACGTTCTGTTGTTCCAGGCGGCAGCGTTACGGTTGCCATGGTTACAGGGCGACGCTCTCTCTCTCTGCGACTGTGTGTTTCCTGGGTGAGAGAGCGCCTTTTCGTTGTTGTTGTTGTTGTGCTAAGCTAACAGGCAGAATGCTACAAGCATAGCTCGAAAGAATGTAGCATCATGGGTAGGGATGGGTACCGGTGTCCGGTGCCATGATGGCACCGGTTCTGACATAAACGGTAGTAACCAGACCGAAAAGCAGCGCACATTTCGGTGCTTTATTTCGGTGCTTTTTTTTCCTGAGCTGTGATACACTTCTAGCCAATCATTTTACGTTTCCGAGGATAGTAGGCGGGGC